TTTCCATTTGTTAGTGTCCTCTTTAATTTCTCTTAAGAGTGTCTTGTAGTTTTCAGGGTATAGGTCTTTCACTTCCTTGCTTAGGTTTATTCCTAGGTATTTTATTCTTTTTGATGCAACTGTGAATGTAATTGTTTTCCTGATTTCTCTTTCTGCTAGTTCATTGTTAGTGTAAAGGAATGCAACAGATTTCTGTGCATTAATTTTGTATCCTGCAACTTTGCTGAATTCTGATATTAGTTCTAGTAGTTTTGGAGTGGAGTTTTTTATGTACAGTGTCATGTCATCTGCAAATAGTATGTTGACTGGTTTTTAAATGGTAGCCCAACCCTGCATTCCTAGGAACACTCCCACGGGTCATAATTTCTTTACATACCTTTCCAACGTTGCCTTCTTTCTCTTTCCTTTGTGGAATTCTGATGACATGGATGTTCCATTTTTGTCATAGTTCCATAGACCCCAGAGGCTCTGTGTATATTTATTTAGATCTATTTTCTTTCTGTTGTTCATTTTGGGTCATTTCTATTGTTCTGTCTTCAAGTTTGTAGATTATTTCCTCTGTCACCTTCATTCTGGTGCTGAGTTTATCTTGTGAGTTTTTTTTTTTTTTAATTTTGGTCTGTGCATTCTTCAGTTCTAAAATTCCCATTTGATATATCTTCTTTTTCTTTGCTGAGAGTTTATATTTTTTCATTTTTCAAGCATGGTCATCATTTCTTGTCAAAGCATTTTAAAGAGGCTGCTTAAAAACCCTTGTTGGCTGATTCTAGAAGGTATGTACTCTTGGCTTTGGTGGCTGCTGTGTTTTCTCATGCCAGTTGAAATTTTCCTGGTTCCTGGTATGACTAGGGATTTTCGTTTGAAACCTTACTATTTTAAGTATTATGTTATGAGACTGGATCTTGTGTTTTAGCTGGTCCTATGACAGGTCAGTGCAGAAGGAGGGCCCTGCATCAGTATTGCTCATGAGGGTGGACATTCAAGCTCCCTTAGTCTCAGTTGTTAGCTGGTGGGGAGGGGCATCTTGTTCCTCTTGAGGGGGCAGTTCTAGTCCCCAGTTGGCCTCTGCTGATCCTGTCCTGGCTGGGAAGGGCAGGGGGACCTTGTCACTGACCCCTGCATGACCTCCACTAACACCATGACTGGGGGTGCCTTGTCACTGCTTGGTGGGGTGAAGTCCTGACTCTCCACTGGGCACCCCTGACACCCCCAGTGGGGAGCAGGAAGGAGTCTCATTACCTCTGGTGACTGCATGGTCTTTGCAGGAAAGTGGTGTGCGAATGTGGCTACATGCAAAAGCAGCACGTGGAGGAGGCCACCAGGCCCCATGCCTTCCAGGGCAACCAGTGGGACCCAAAAAAACACGTCCAGGAGATGCCAACTGATGCCTTTGGTGATATTGTCTTCACAGGCCTGGGCCAGAAGATGGGAAAGGTTGGTTTTTGTCACTCCATTGCTCTTAGTATGGACCAGCGGCCACTACTGGGGACCTGCAGGGCCAGGACTTCCTGGTGTGGAGAGGGAGGCTGGACAAAAGCCTGGGGGCACAGCATCTGTCCAGTACTAGGGGCGGGGCAGGCAGTGCGCCACAGGGCTGTTAGGAAACGTGCCTGATCTCAGAGTGCTTGGTCACCAATAAGCAGGGTGGGGAGCAGCAAGCGCCCTGAGGAGGGTGCAAGCCCAGTGGTGTGAGCTCCGGCTAGGAGGCCCTGGGCGGTGTTAGCCAGGGCCTGGGGGGAGCAGGGGTCACCCAGGGCATGGGTCAGGGTAGGCTTGAGGAATGGGGTGAGGAGACAGGCTGGGGGTGGCTCAGAGGCCTGCTGTGGGAAGGCTGATGGTGCCAGGTGGCAGAGTGTGACCCCCAGGGGCCTCAGGCCTGCAGGGGGGCAGGAGTGGCAGAGGGAGGCCCTGGCTCTCAGGTGTGCATCTCAGGGTGGTCCCTGGAGCAAGAGCACTGCCAGACAGCTTCTTGGCCCCACCTGCACCTCCTGGATGGGGCCCCAGACACCCTCCCTGCAACCAGCCTTCTGGAGGACCCTGATGCAGGTCCTGGGCACTACTGTCCTCCAGGGCCTGTGGGGCTGCTTATTTCTGGAACCCTGTACCTCTCAGGCATGGGTGTGGCCACTGCCTCGCCTCTTCTGAGTGGCTGAGACACTGCACACTTGGCAAAAGAGCCTGAACAAGGAGGGGTCTGGGGGTGGGGTCACGCCCACTTCCCATCAGCTCCAGAGCCGCCCTGCATCCACACCGTCACCAGTCGGGTGCCGTGCAAGCCCTGGTCCCTTGTGAGCCACCCTCACGGCTATTCTGGGTTTGACCCAAGAAGAGTGGGGGATCCTTTGCAGCCCAGGGCTCAGGGTAAGAGTGAGCCCTAGAGCATGTCAGGGCCAGAGGCATGGACAGCAGACCCCTGGGGGGCCAGGGCCAGGGGCTAGGCCGCAGGCGCTGGCTGGGAGAAAGCTGTGCTGGATGGAGAAAGACACTCCTTCATGATGGCCATGTTCAGCCTGTGGGTGCAGAGGAGGCCCGCCCCCAGGGACAGGATGGGCATGGGGTTCGGGGGCTCCTGACCCAGGGCACAGTCAGGAGGTGCCGAGGGTGCGGGGCCGGCCTTCCGGGCTCTCTTCCAAGCTTGGGCTCCCTTTGTTGCTCAGTCCCTGTCCCACTTGGGTGTGGTTACTTCTACTCTCCAGGTCTGGGCCCAGGGTGAGGGTCCACCCAGGGCTGGGGCTCGGAGGCGCGGTCTCCCAGCTGCACTGCTGCTGGCTGACACGGGCTCCCTGGGTCCTGACTCCCGCAGTATGTGCGCCTGTCCCAGGACACACCTCCCAGCGTGATCTACCGCCTCATGACCCAGCACTGGGGCCTGGACGTCCCCAGCCTCCTCATCTCCGTGACAGGCGGGGCCAAGGACTTCATCATGAAGCCCAGGCTGAGGAGCATCTTCCGCAGGGGCCTGGTCAAGGTGGCCCAGACCACAGGTGCGGCCCAGGCAGGGGACAGCAGTGGTTGTGTTAATCATGGGGAGTCAGGGAGAGCTCCCAGGCACCAAACTCTTTGCTGCCTGATCTTTCCATTAGCTCCAGGCAAGGAGGATACAATCTCCATCTTCTTAGGGGAGGCAGCGGCCTCAGTGTTAAATACTTCCCCAGGCTCACGGCTCCAGTAAGAGCAGAGTGGGCAAGGCTGCATGCGGCCCTGACTCTGTGCCCACCATGCCTGGAGCTCCACGGGGGGCGGCCCTCGGCCTAAGTGACCAGCGATCAGTAGGCATGTGAGCTTGAGGGGGCTGCACCAGGTAGGCTGTGGCAGGAGAGCAAGGATTCTGGGTCCAGGAGAGAAGGGCCCCCCACAAGGGACTGAGCCTTTTTCTAGGATCTATTTTAGCAAAGGGTGTGAGAACCACACTGTCAGTTTGGGTCTTTGCCCCGCAACAGACTTAATCTGAGTCTTGATTGGCAACACTGTGACAGGCTTCTGGGCACTGGTCTCTGCACTCTCGTCAGCATTGCCCTGGGACAGAGACCCCAACAGAGACAAAGGTGGCCTTCTGCTCATGTCTGCGGGAGGTGGTGGCAGCCCCTTCCCCATGGCTTCCCATTCGAGGACGTGGGCCAGAGGAGCCAACCCCACTGGGGACCTGCCGTTTTCACGTCCGAGAGCGCGCAGCACACAGCTGGTGCCGGCCCACCATGCTCAGCGCTGCTGATCATACACTCTTCTGTGTTGATACCTAAAGCTGGTCAGGCCAGCCAGCGGGTCCCCTACAGGGCCCCTGCAAGTTTCACGGCGTGGGTGGCATGGCAGGGCTGAGTGGCTGGGAACAGGCGTATAATCTTGGCCCCAGAAATTGAGAGGAGGAAGGGACATTTGCATGTCTTGAAATAGAAGAATCAAGAGAAACTTTGGGGTTGCTGAGTTCCCGAAGCTGGGATGGAGAGGGGATGTAGGGAGGCTGGGAGGGAGGATGCAGCCTGCAGGCTCCATTCCTGCCCCTGCAACCCAAGCACGGTGGGCAACGGAGGCCTCGGAGCTGCAACATGAAGGCAGGCGCAGGGTGTGGCCTCCTCCTGGGTCCCGGTTTCGAGACTGGCACCTGGTAATGAGTTTGGAAGCCCCTTCGTGTGACACCCTGCATAGGAGGCACACACGGGGCACTGGGGGCAGGCTTGCATATAGCAGGGAGACACCCTCAGCTCCTTCCCCCAGGGGCCTGGATTATCACTGGGGGCTCCCACACCGGCGTGATGAAGCAGGTGGGTGAGGCAGTGCGGGACTTCAGCCTGAGCAGCAGCTACAACAAGGGAGAAATCATCACCATTGGAGTTGCCACGTGGGGCACGGTACACAACCGGGACAGCCTGATCCACCCCGCGGTGAGCTGGGCCAGACTCCTGGGTGTGGCAGGGTCACAGGAGGTGACGGGTGGGGTCCTACTGGGTGCCTGCTGTGGGTGGGCCTTGTCTGGCCACTGGGGTAAATGCAGTGTCAGGGGAAGAGGCTGAGTGAGGCACAGGACACCCAGCTCTAGCCCAGCCATGCCATGTGACCCAGGACACATAGTTGACTTGGCTGAATTCTGTTTTCCTCCCTCAAGACTGCAGGACAGGTGCACATAAGAGTTATCTAAGAGCCATCGCTGGTCATGCTAATAGCCTCTCGGGTGAGAAGTGCACTTTAGCAGAAGGAGGTAACATGGCTGAGACCACACAGCCCATGAGCATCTGTGGTGGGTGGAACCTAGCTGTCCGTCCCAAAGCCTGATCTGTGAACCCCACAATCAGGGGTCTCTCCCAGCCCAGGAATTAGTTGCACAGTGCTGTGATTTCTGACAGTCATGACCCACGCTTCTCCTTTAAGATCACAGACAGAGCCTCCCGCCTCCATTTAACTGGTTAAATGTGGAAGCTGGAAAAGATGATTGAATTCATTCAGTCAGATTTTCTAAGGACGCAGTAGACCTGGCATGATGAGCACATGTCCACTTAATTAGCAGAGTCAGGGAGTTCAGGGAGCCCTCAGGAGCACGCCTGGCTGGGAGGCTTTCACGCAGCTGCCCTGGAGAGGCCCTTCACCCGGGGGGAGTGTCTCTGGGGTGTCGGCTCCTTTGCTCAGTCACAGGTGCTCGTGGCTGGGCCCCCTGGGCCACAGCCTCTGCCTTCCTTTTGTGTCAGAGTCACAGATGTGTTCAGGAGGACAGGGCTGCTCTGTCTTGGGTGCTCATTCTACGGATTGGAAATCTGAGGCCAAGAGAGATGGGTGGCTTCCAAGACTGCTCTTCGTTCTTCTCCCATTTGTGGTTCAGAAGCCTCCCCTTGACACTCCAGCTACCCTTTGTGGGTGACAGGGGGGTGTGCGCTGGCCCGGCAGCCGTCCCCCCGCCGTCAGTGTCCCGGGGCTGCTGCACCACCTAGTCAGAACCTCGTGGCTAAAAGCAACAGAAATTTCTTCTGTCATACTTCTGAAGGCAGGAAATCTGGAATCAGTACCACCGAGGCACAGTCAGGGTGTGCTAGGGCCACATGCCTGCCCGCCCCAGGCTCTGGGGGCTCCTTCCTCATCTTCCAGGTCCCGCTGGCTGCAGGGGGTCCTTGGCTCGAGCTTGCATCTCTCCACTCTGACTCCATCTCACTGCCTTCTCTGTGTGTTGTGCCAAATCCTCCTCTGCCTCTGCTCTGAGGGCACTTCCCCTGGTGTTTAGGGCCTGGATAACCTAGGGAATCTCCTCGTATCAAGATGCTTACGTTACACCCGCAAGGATCCTTTTTTCAAATAAGGCCGCGTGTATGAGTCCAGGATCAGGACCTGGTGCCTTTGATGGGCTGTTTCTCAGCCGGCCGTGACCCGCCCTCAGATTCCCAAGGACTCACACCCATGTGCAAAATACACCCACCCCATCCCAAGATCCCCCAAATAATTGGCCCATTACAGCACCAATTGAGAGTTCAAAGTCTCATCTACGTGTCACCAGCTAAAATATCCAAAATCTCCTCCTTTACACGAGATCCTGGGTATGCTCTGTCCTGGGGCAAAATTTCCCTTCATGTGTGGACCTCTGAAACTAGAAAATGGGTTATTTTGTTCCAAAATACAGTGGTTTTGTTTATTAGAACAGACACACTCTAATGGACACCCTCATTCTAAGGAAGGAACATAGAGGGAATAAAGGGGTCACCGATCCTGATCAATTTCAAGATCCAGTGGAGAAATTCATTAGGTGACAAAATGGGGAAAGGTGTGACTTGAGGCTCCGGTCCAGGGCATCCTGTTCAGACCCTCGGCTTCCGTCCTCACCCACAACTCTGCCCTTGGGATGGCCCCTCCCTTTTCTTGAAGGTCATCAGCCTGTCTCCTGCCTGTAGAATTTTGGGTATCTTACTTTGTTCACTTTGTCCTATGTCCGACCTTTCAGTCCAAGTGAGCAGTGCTTCTGAGACAACTCTCAGAAGCCTTGTGGGCTTCCTGTGTGTGTCACAGGGGTTCCTGCCAGTAGACAGAAGGCTCTCTGCAGATCTCTGCTCCCGGCCCCTGCTGAGATGCTCGAGTGAATCTGTGGCCTTGTATTTGACCTCACATCCACAGCAGAAGGCTGTGCAGCCCCACCCTTAGCCCTCTTTAACAGGATTCTCTTCCTCTTCTCACATCCTCGCGCTCTGGACGGACAGGCTGAGAGTGTCCCTGAGCTGTGTCCTGTCTGCCGACCTGAGTACGGCACAGCTCTCCTTTCACATTTATGATAAGCAGCAAGCAGAAACCAGACTACACTTTCAACACTTTGCTTGGAAACGTCCTTGGATACATATCCAAGCTCATCACTCGTGATTCTGCTTTCCACACAGCTGTGCGGCGCGGTGCAGCAGAGCTGTGGGCCCCTACACAGCAAGGCGGGCCTCTCCTCGTTGCTGACCAGCAGCACCTTTCCCGTTCCCATTCCCACCTGAGCTCTGTCTGTGACGAGCTGTGTAACTAGGGCAACAGACGCCTTCCCTGCTGCACCCCTCACCCCCTTCTGGGCCTCATCTGCAACAGCTTTAACACACGTCCTCTGCCAACAGTCTGTTCAAGGCTATCTAGACATTTCTGTCATATGCCTCCCAGATTCTTCCAGCCTTTGCCCATTTCCAGGTTCCAGACCTTTTCCAGTTTTTGGTGTTTGTTACAGTAGCACCTCACTTCCTGATGCCAACGTCTGTGTTCGTTCCCCGGGGCTGTCGTGACAGATTACCCCTTACCTGGGGGCTTCCAGAACAGAGACCTATTCTCTCTTGGAGGCCAGAACCCCAAAATCAGTGACACTTGGCCCAAACCAGGATGCAGGCAGGGCCACGCCTCTCCAGAGGCCGGCAGGGAGATGCCCTTCCTGCCTCCCCAGCCTCTGCTGGGGCTGGCCTCCTGGGCTCGTGGCCGCATGGCCCTAGCCTCAGCCTTCCTGGTCACACAGCCTGGCCTTTCCTGGTCAACCCTCCTCCTGCCTTTCCATTGGAAGGACACGTGTGATGGCATGTAAGCCCTGGGTGATCAGGGTCAGCTTCCATGTCAAGGTCATTAGCAGAATCATCTGCAGACTCTCCTTCCAAATAAGGTCACAGTCACAGCTTGCAAGGATCAGGACCTGACATAGCCGGGAGCTTGTTATCCAGCCCGCTAGACCCCATCCCCTGCATTCAAGATGCAGAACTTTCCATCTGGCTGTCCCCAGGGCAGCTTCCCTGCAGAGTACATGGTGGATGAGGATGGCCAAGGACACCTGACCTGCCTGGACAGCAACCACTCCCACTTCATCCTCGTGGACAACGGGACTCACGGCCGCTATGGGGTCGAGATCCCCCTGAGGTCAAGGCTGGAGAAGTTCATATCAGAGCAGACAAAGGAGAGGGGAGGTGAGCAGAGTGCTCCTGTGGGCACTTAGGCCAGGGCAGGGGGTGCTGGCCAGTCAGGGTGTTGGGGCCCAGCGGGTGCGACCGGGATGTTCAGTGCAGGCAGGGGGTGTGGTCAGATGCACCTGGGTCCTTTCCCACCGTCTCCTGGCTCTATCCGGTGGGGTCACTGTCTTTCGCCCATTTAACCCGTGGACAGGGGTGAGGGCACGTCCCCACTTTTCTGCTCACTGTCAAGTGAGAGACCATCTACATCACTTCACACCACACATGCAGCCCGGTTCAAAAATAAGAAAGTCCAAACGCAAGCCTTGACCTCCTTTCTCTTGTAGGCGAGACGGGATAGATTCTAGGACACTGGGAGGCCAAACATACAGGAGTTTGCATGATTTAAGGGGGGTAAAGAAAGGCCCCGAGATAACAGGAGGGTCTGGCTCAGCACCAGGTTGGCTGGGCACCTTTAGAGCAGTGGCTGTCCAGCTTCTCTGCACATCAGAGGCCCCCCGAGGGTCTGTCAGCCCCGTCGACCCCTGGTCCCTGACTCACAGGTCTGGGTGGGGGAACTTAGGTTTCCAAGTTCCTGGGGGACACAGATGTGGCTAGCTGGGGGCTGCAATTTGATAACCCTGCTTTGCCTAAGAACTTGGGTGGGCTGTGTTTGGGGCGTCAGAGTGAGTGAGGTCAGGGGGCCATGTTGGCACTGGGAGAGAAAGTTTGCTGCCAGGGAGAGGTGTTCCTCAAGTCTCCCCCAGCCCCCTGCTGTGGGAAGGATGAAAGCCTCACCGAATGGCCCACCGAGGATGTAGGCTCCCGCACCGTGGCCCTGCACATGCAGGGTGTTGTGTCCATCTGCTTGACGTGTCCCCGCGTGCCCAGGTGTGAGGCGCCAAGGAAGGGCTGCAGGGAAAGCAGGCTAGGCGCTGGGGCTGTGGGGGCAGAAGGTAGCTGGGGACCCTCCCCACTGCTGGGTGTCTGCGGCCCTCCCCCCACCCCTGCTCTGGAGAGGCCATCACTGCGCCCTCACCTGCTCCCTGCCGGCCTTTGAAGCCCCTCGGCACTCACCGGCAGTGTGCAGTGCCTGAGGCTTCTGCACAAGAGTGGCTGGGCTGTGTCCTAGGAGGAGGCCCAAGCCCCATGTCCCCTAAACCGGGGATCCGTGCTTTGTCCTAGGTGTGGCCATCAAGATCCCCATTGTCTGTGTGGTGCTGGAGGGGGGCCCTGGCACACTGCACGTGAGTCCTGGCAGCGGGTGGGCTCAGGGATCCAGCCCGGCTGTAGGGCACAGCTGGCCCAGAGAGCCGTTGCTAGCATGTCTGTGGGGCCAATGGCCAGAAAGGGCAAGGAGAACGGGATGTGACCGTGTGGGGCCAACTAAACGCTGTGCAGGGACGTATGGTGGCACTGCCGCCTGCACATTCGGGGAGTGGCATGGCATTTCCTATAGGGGGTCAGAGAACACGTCCACTTGTGGTTAGTAACTGTAGGTGGTCAGCATGGAACCCCCTGGGTTCTGGGCTTGGGATCGCCTCTGGGCCACCACTCTCCCCACACGTGGGGTCCTCTGCAGGCCCCCTGCTTCCTCACAGCCAGAGCAGGGCGCCTGCTCCCGCTGGTGCGTCCTTCCTGCTGAAGGAGGCCTCACCCTGGGTTCCCTGGCCCCCTGGCTGGCCTGGGCTCTCCCTGGGCCTTCAGGAGGTTGCTGAGCACCAGGCCAGGTTGCATCCTGTCTTTCTGGAGGTGCTCTCATGAGCACAGGTCAGTGGCAGACCTGTTGCATGGTGCTGGCAGTAGACCTGAAGGCGAAGGCTTATGGGGCACACCCCACAGGCCATCAGGATGAGCTGCTTGTCCCTCTGAGCAGCAGAAAGCACCCAGCTGTGTTTTCAGTGCATTTCTCAATCGCCCGTTAACCTGGTGGTACGCGCACTAGAGATTCCCCACTTCTGGTGTCTGAGCGGCCCTGGCCCCTGCCTTGCAGACCATCTACAACGCCATTGCCCACGGCACCCCCTGCGTGATCGTGGAGGGCTCAGGCCGCGTGGCCGACGTCCTTGCCCAGGTGGCCAGCCTGCCCATCTCCGAGATCACCATCTCCCTGATACAGCAGAAGCTGAGCGAGTTCTTCCAGGAGATGTTTGAGACCTTCACCGAAAGGCGGGTCGTGGAGTGGACCAAGAAGGTGAGGTGGCAGGCGGCAGCCAGCATGCATGCGGTGACTCCCCGGGGAGCAGGACCAGGCAGAACTGGGATTCCCAGGGGGCCGTGGTGGGCGGCTTTGCGCCAGCAGGCAGAGGGCCCAGGCAGGCGGGAAGCCGAGGCCGCATACTGCCCTGCCAAGGAGGGCACGTTTTGAACCTCTGTCCACAGATGTCAAGCCTGGGCTGGCAGGCTCCAGAACCGGAGAGTGCAGCTGCTCTGGGGAGAGGGGAGGGAGCCAGCTGGATGGGAGTGGCAGGAGGATGGTACTGAGGCCCAGGATGGGGGCGCAGGGGCATGGCCAGGTGACAGCAGCCAGGGGCAAGGGCTGGCACAGCCTCCAAGCTGGACGGGTTCAAGGCTGCCCGGACAGATTAATGGAGACACTTGGGGAGCTGGCAAGGCAGGGATACGGGCAGAGTCTGGTGAGTCAGGGCCCAGCTGGGCCGGGGTACCTTGGGCTATGTGGAGGTGCTTCCCGCGCACCCCTCAGCTAGAGGCTCTGGCAGGCGTGCCCACCTGAGGATCTGCACGTTGCCGGAGCATTCAGGGCACCCCGGTCTCCAGAGCCTCGGGAGACCTGAGACCCGGGAGGGAGCTAGCTGTACCTGAGGACACCAACTCCCTGCCCCTTGACTGCACAGGGAGGGAAAGGGGCCTGCGCTCCAAGTCCGGGCACAGCCGGGAGCATGGGATGGGCGCTGTCCTGCAGCATGGCCCTATTCCAGTGCTGTGCTCTCCCCACACCCCTTTGCTTTGGAGTGATTTTAGATTTACAGAACACAGACCATAGAGGGCTTCTCTGTGCCCTTCATGCCACCTCCCCTGACGTTAACATCCTACATAACCGCAGCCCATTTGCCCAAACTGAGGGATGAATTTGGCGCCTCGCTGTTCACTGAGTGCAGGATGTTCGGATGTCACACTGACCCATGGTGACCTTTCTCCCATGCCAGGAGCCAAACCAAGACACCACATTGCATTTAGCCTTTTCTCTTTTATTGCCTTTTTTTTTTTTAAGCATGACATCATTTAGTTAGCCAACCAGATTTCAGATTTTCTGGAACATTCCCATATGAACTGATGAGATTGAGCTGCTCTGGCTGTGGGTGGGCTGGAGCTCTGGGGCCCTGCCTCCTGCCCATCTCCTCAACTCCTGTGTTGGGAGCCTCATGGGCGCCCCCACCCCTCTGGTCTGCACCCTTCTCTGTCCTGACCTGCTTCTCCTGGCCAGGGGGAGACCTCTGGGCTGTCACAGGACGTAATCGCAGAGTGACCTGGTGGATGTGGGTGTTCTGAGAGACTGTTTTTCAGTAATTTTGCTTTCAAAGGCATTGGCTCTGTGTTGCCCTGATACCTCCAGTGGGAGACGAAGGTGTTTACAGGCGGGGGAAGACTTTGCGAGGGCCCCTTACAGAGCGGATTCTTGTGGCGTGCTTGGGTGGGGAGTCAGCTCTGGAAGGTATGTAAGGACTTCTCCCGAAGTTCTGGAAAGATGGAGCTTCTCTCTCAGATACTTTAAGGTTGTTTGGCTTAGTTGGGAACCTTGGGCATTTGGAGTGGGCATCAGAAGCAGCTGTCCCAGATTTTATGGTCCTCCCCGATGAGCTCTGCAGAGGGGCCACAGCCCAAGGCCGCCACCCCAGCCTCCAGGGGGGCCGGTGTGAAGGGGAGTGGCTAGGTCAGCCGGCTCCAGCCCTCGAGGTCCAGCTGAGCCTGAGCAGACAGCCCCCCCACTTCCTGCTTCTGTGCTCACATGCCCCTGCTCTCTCCTCCGCGCTCTGTGCTCCTGGGCTGGGGCTCAGGAGTCCTAAGGTCGCCCCACCTCTGGTTCCTGCTGGGATTCTTTGGAGTGGGGCTGCTGGTGCCTCTCAGAGCCTTGCTTTCCCTAACAGAAGCTGCGGCTGGCCAAGAGTCAGGGTCTAGGTCTCTCGTTCAGCTCCGTGAATAATAAGTCAGGTAGTAAAAGCTCCTGGAAATTCAGGTTTACATGACTGACACACTCTTCAGGGCAAGTCTGTGGAGCAGCTTAGCTCTGACTGTATCTAATTTTGGGCCACACGGGCAGTCTGTGTTCCCAGCCAAAGACCATGGGGACACACTGTGGTTGGCCACGTGGAGGGAGGATGCCTGCTGGGGGCCTGGGAGCACGAGGCGCTGTGGGGGAAGGCAGGGGGCTCACCCTGGGTGGGGATGGGTATTGGGTCCTGTGCGGGGCACATGACCTTGTTCTGGTCTGCTGAGTGTGGTTGCAGAGTGATGGTGGATATGGGTATTCTGGGAGACTGTTTTTGCTGTGAGGTTAGCTCAGTTCTCCAAGGAGCCTTGGGCTGCAGGCAGGTCCTGGGGCATCTCCTTGGCACATAAATTGTTCAGGCAAGTTTTAGACTGGATCTAACCCACCAGCTGTCATAAGGTGCCAGTTTAACCCACCCCGTTCCAGAGTCTAGGCCCTGAAAATGGTGTTTCACAAGGTCAGTCCTAAGCCTGGCCCGGGACTACCATCCAGTGTTAGTCTTGTTCAGTGGGGAGGGAATCCCAGTTACCTAGTCACAGCCTGTTATTCCTTCAACAAACCTCAGGTCTACCCTGACGGATGGATGGGCGGGGCCTCTTCCCTGGGAGGCTGCCGTGGGTGGGCATAGGCCACAGGGGCCTGGTTGCAGGGGCTTGCAGCCAACACCACACAGGTCTGTGCTGGGAACATTGCTTGGCCCCTCCCAGGATTGCTTTTCTTATCTGTACAATAGGGATAATTAGGACCTGAACTCAGGAAGGAACGAGGTCATCTATGCAAAGTGCGCATTCTTGGAAGAAATGAGGGCTGTTCTATCATGCACATCAAGGACTGGGTTAATTCAGGGGACATTATTCTGGCTGTGGATTTTGGGGGGTTGTGGAGGGACCTGGTGGGTATTCTGTGGTTGACATGAAACTGGGCCTGAGGGATGGAGAGGTTGGGGTGTCAGAGGTGGGGTGTTCTCTGCGCAGACACACCTGGCTTTACTGCGTATTTTACAAGTTGAAGGTCTGTGGCAACCCTGCTGGCACCATTTTTCCAGCAGCATTTGTTCACTTTGTGTCTGTGTCACATTCTGGTGATTCTCACAATATTTCAAATTCACGGTTATGTACATTTTCATGATGATCCCTGCCCCTTGACTGCACAGGGAGGGAAAGGGGCCTGCGCTCCAAGTCCGGGCACAGCCGGGAGCATGGGATGGGCGCTGTCCTGCAGCATGGCCCTATTCCAGTGCTGTGCTCTCCCCACACCCCTTTGCTTTGGAGTGATTTTAGATTTACAGAACACAGACCATAGAGGGCTTCTCTGTGCCCTTCATGCCACCTCCCCTGACGTTAACATCCTACATAACCGCAGCCCATTTGCCCAAACTGAGGGATGAATTTGGCGCCTCGCTGTTCACTGAGTGCAGGATGTTCGGATGTCACACTGACCCATGGTGACCTTTCTCCCATGCCAGGAGCCAAACCAAGACACCACATTGCATTTAGCCTTTTCTCTTTTATTGCCTTTTTTTTTTTTAAGCATGACATCATTTAGTTAGCCAACCAGATTTCAGATTTTCTGGAACATTCCCATATGAACTGATGAGATTGAGCTGCTCTGGCTGTGGGTGGGCTGGAGCTCTGGGGCCCTGCCTCCTGCCCATCTCCTCAACTCCTGTGTTGGGAGCCTCATGGGCGCCCCCACCCCTCTGGTCTGCACCCTTCTCTGTCCTGACCTGCTTCTCCTGGCCAGGGGGAGACCTCTGGGCTGTCACAGGACGTAATCGCAGAGTGACCTGGTGGATGTGGGTGTTCTGAGAGACTGTTTTTCAGTAATTTTGCTTTCAAAGGCATTGGCTCTGTGTTGCCCTGATACCTCCAGTGGGAGACGAAGGTGTTTACAGGCGGGGGAAGACTTTGCGAGGGCCCCTTACAGAGCGGATTCTTGTGGCGTGCTTGGGTGGGGAGTCAGCTCTGGAAGGTATGTAAGGACTTCTCCCGAAGTTCTGGAAAGATGGAGCTTCTCTCTCAGATACTTTAAGGTTGTTTGGCTTAGTTGGGAACCTTGGGCATTTGGAGTGGGCATCAGAAGCAGCTGTCCCAGATTTTATGGTCCTCCCCGATGAGCTCTGCAGAGGGGCCACAGCCCAAGGCCGCCACCCCAGCCTCCAGGGGGGCCGGTGTGAAGGGGAGTGGCTAGGTCAGCCGGCTCCAGCCCTCGAGGTCCAGCTGAGCCTGAGCAGACAGCCCCCCCACTTCCTGCTTCTGTGCTCACATGTCCCTGCTCTCTCCTCCGCGCTCTGTGCTCCTGGGCTGGGGCTCAGGAGTCCTAAGGTCGCCCCACCTCTGGTTCCTGCTGGGATTCTTTGGAGTGGGGCTGCTGGTGCCTCTCAGAGCCTTGCTTTCCCTAACAGAAGCTGCGGCTGGCCAAGAGTCAGGGTCTAGGTCTCTCGTTCAGCTCCGTGAATAATAAGTCAGGTAGTAAAAGCTCCTGGAAATTCAGGTTTACATGACTGACACACTCTTCAGGGCAAGTCTGTGGAGCAGCTTAGCTCTGACTGTATCTAATTTTGGGCCACACGGGCAGTCTGTGTTCCCAGCCAAAGACCATGGGGACACACTGTGGTTGGCCACGTGGAGGGAGGATGCCTGCTGGGGGCCTGGGAGCACGAGGCGCTGTGGGGGAAGGCAGGGGGCTCACCCTGGGTGGGGATGGGTATTGGGTCCTGTGCGGGGCACATGACCTTGTTCTGGTCTGCTGAGTGTGGTTGCAGAGTGATGGTGGATATGGGTATTCTGGGAGACTGTTTTTGCTGTGAGGTTAGCTCAGTTCTCCAAGGAGCCTTGGGCTGCAGGCAGGTCCTGGGGCATCTCCTTGGCACATAAATTGTTCAGGCAAGTTTTAGACTGGATCTAACCCACCAGCTGTCATAAGGTGCCAGTTTAACCCACCCCGTTCCAGAGTCTAGGCCCTGAAAATGGTGTTTCACAAGGTCAGTCCTAAGCCTGGCCCGGGACTACCATCCAGTGTTAGTCTTGTTCAGTGGGGAGGGAATCCCAGTTACCTAGTCACAGCCTGTTATTCCTTCAACAAACCTCAGGTCTACCCTGACGGATGGATGGGCGGGGCCTCTTCCCTGGGAGGCTGCCGTGGGTGGGCATAGGCCACAGGGGCCTGGTTGCAGGGGCTTGCAGCCAACACCACACAGGTCTGTGCTGGGAACATTGCTTGGCCCCTCCCAGGATTGCTTTTCTTATCTGTACAATAGGGATAATTAGGACCTGAACTCAGGAAGGAACGAGGTCATCTATGCAAAGTGCGCATTCTTGGAAGAAATGAGGGCTGTTCTATCATGCACATCAAGGACTGGGTTAATTCAGGGGACATTATTCTGGCTGTGGATTTTGGGGGGTTGTGGAGGGACCTGGTGGGTATTCTGTGGTTGACATGAAACTGGGCCTGAGGGATGGAGAGGTTGGGGTGTCAGAGGTGGGGTGTTCTCTGCGCAGACACACCTGGCTTTACTGCGTATTTTACAAGTTGAAGGTCTGTGGCAACCCTGCTGGCACCATTTTTCCAGCAGCATTTGTTCACTTTGTGTCTGTGTCACATTCTGGTGATTCTCACAATATTTCAAATTCACGGTTATGTACATTTTCATGATGGCCTGTGATCAGTTATTTTGACTCGCTAGAAGCTCAGATGATGGTCAGCCTTTTTTAGCAATAAAGTGTTCTTTAATTAAGGTATGTATGCTGTTTTTCTAGATGTAATGCTATTGCATGCTTAACAGACTGCGATATAGTGCAAACACAACTTTCACAGGCACTGGGGAACCAAACAATCCATTTGCCTCACTTTACTGGCATGTTCATATTTATTGTGGTGGTCCGAAGCATCTCTGAGGTGTGCCTGGGTGAGCTACGGACATCACGGCCCCCAAGCTGCTGTGGCTGCCTGGGGGGCAGGGGGAGGAGCCGGAAGGCTTTTGGATCTGTGGGGAGCCTGTGCGAGAATGCTTTTGTGGAAGGCTTACCCTGGCCTCAGGTGAAAGGGTTGTGGGGAGCAGGGACTGGTAGCAGGCATAGCAGACATAGGAATGAGGTGGTAGATATCGATAGATGATAGATACAGATGGGTGACACATGGGTGGGCAGAGAGGTACTTGCATAGACAGATACATGGGTGGATGGAAGGATACATGACAGGTAGATATAGCAGGCAGCTAGGAAAGCAGAAGGCAGGTATGCAGATAGGTATGATGGGCAGATAGGTGGATATGTTGAGGGTAGGCAGGTGGGTGATTTGATGGATGGGTGGGTGGGAGGAAGGATGGATAGCAGGCAGGCAGGCAGGCAGGCAGGTGAGGATTGGCGGGACCCAGGAGGGCACCCAGGGGAGAGTCTCAAGTTCGGCGGACACCCCCATGTGGTTGGGTGAGATTCCTTGCACTGGGTTGTTTTCCGCCCGGCAGACCACCAGCAGGTGTCGTGTGTTCGGTCCTTTCCCATGTTCATCCTCTCTGTCCTGCGCGTGGGGAGGTGGGGGCGTGGCCCTGGCAGACAGGCAGGACTCAGCGCTCTGAGTCTCAGGCCTTGATTCTCTTGGTGCCCTTCGAGGAGGCAGGAGGCCTGCTTGTTGCCACGAACTCACCTGGGGAGTGTTTCTTGCAGATCCAGGACATTGTCCGGAAGCAGCAGCTGCTGACCATCTTCCGGGAGGGCAAGGATGGCCAACAGGACGTGGATGTTGCCATCCTGCAGGCCCTGCTGAAAGGTGAGGGGCAGGTGACGTGGGGACAAGGGGAGGAACTGGAACGAGGGTGCCCTGGGCCGAGTCTGGAGGAGCCACAAACACTACCCCTCGGTGGGTCACCCTGGTCAGAGGGCAGCTGGTGTGGGCTGTGCTGGAGCCAGCTCACACCCCTGCCAGGCAGGGGGGGCCCTGTCGCCCACGTCGGGGATACAGGCTCCCTATCCAGCTCACCTTCCTTCCGGGACCCTGGGTGCAGCCCGCATAGCCCGTCCCTGCGCAGTCAGGGTGGCTTCTCATAACCAGGGCACAAGGAGGGGCGCAAGGAGGGGACCTGGGAAACCTGCTCCCGACTTCCACACCTTGTCTGTGTGTAGGGTCCTCCGCCTGCGGCCCAGGGGGACCCGAGTACAGGGACCTTGACCTTTGCCCTGCGGCCCGCACTGCCCTCTGCCCTTTCCTCCACTTTCCAGAGGAGGCAGAGCTGCCCCGTGCCTCCTGCTGGCTTCAGGGAGCCTTTGCCCACCGACCGCAGGGGAGCGGAGGCCCTCTCGGTGGAGGGTCCTTCTGGCTTCGCTCCTGTGTGTCCAGCCCAGACCCTTCTTACTGACGGGGGGACTTGACCCTGCCCAGAACCCCACGTAACCAAGAGACTGCTGAAACCCAGACGAGAGTCTGTGTCCCAGCCTCCGTACGGGGAGGTCCCGGGAAAAGGCGGTCGGATGGAGTCCGAGCAGACCCTCCCCGGCTACAGCGGCAGAGCGGGAGCGCTGGGGCCCTGGGGCCAGGGGGTGCCGCTGTGGGTCCTGGATCCCCCTCCAGCAGAGGCAGTGGGGGCCGGAGTTTGGGGCGGAAACCAGGGCGCGGACGGGGCTCCCGGGAGTGTGGTTTTGCCGGCCGGCAGGCAGAGCTCCTGTCTGTCCCTCGCCTTCTCTGCGGCAGTGTGTCTGGTGAAATCCGCAGGCGTGGCAAAGGGTGGGGGGACACGGAGTCCCACCGTCAGCCACCTCGCTGGGACAGGGAAGGCCCCTACTCATGGCCCAGGATGGACCCCCCGACGCGAGGCGCCTCTGCCCTTGGGGCCAGCAGTTAGGAATGAAGACCTGCACCACCGAAGCTGTAGGGTCGCGGGTACCCCGAGGGCTGGCCCTGAGTGGCAGGGGCCCGGGACGCTGGGGTGGGAGCATTTCATGTCCTGGTCTTGGGGGTGCTCATGCAGGTGTGGACATCAGTGAAGAGCCGTCGAACTGTCCATCCAAGATTTGTGCACGTTCGAGGTCTTTCATCAGCAATAAGGAGTTTTAGAAGGATTCTTTGGCATAGCATCCTGCTGTGCAGAGTCCCTAGATGGCACCTCCCACGTGTGCAGGAGACAGAGAGAGAGGGATCTGTTTCTGGAAGCAAACGCAGTGTGACTGCTTGCTCAGGGGAGGTGGGGGCCCTCTGGGGTGGGAGAAAGGGCCTCTTCTTATTACATGGGTATGTGTGAAAATAGATATGTGTCTGGAAGTAACAGACATGATTTTTCCATGACAAGCCCTTTTTAAAAATCAACTTTATTGGGGCAGTTGATTTACTGTTAATCCCCCACCCCCGTTCTGATTTCCGGCTAGATGAATTTTAACAGGTATGTTCAGCTGTGTGCCCACCACAGTCTGGCTACAGGACACTTCCCACACCTAGAAGTGCTCTCCTGCCCCTGTGCAGAGCCTCCCTGCACCCCTTGCCGGGCCACCCCTTACCCGCTTTCTGCAGTTATGGGTCCATTACCTGTGCTGGACCTTCACATAAATGGAATCACAGGTTACATGTTCTGCTCTGTATTGCTTCTGTGCTCAGTGCGATGTCCTCCACGCGGCCACATGGGTCAGACCCTGTCCCTCCACTGCTGAGCTGTGTTCCACAGTGTGGGAATGCCGCATGGTGTTTCTCCATCCATCTGTTGATGTGCCTTTGGGTTGTCTCCCATTTGGGGCCATTTTGAATAAAGCTGCTGTAGTTGGCATTTCTCTTCGGTCCACTTGTAGGAGTGGAATCACTGGCTCTTTATGGTAGGTGTATGTCTAGCTTTATAAGAACCTGCTGGCTATTTCCCAGAACACTGTGGGGTCTTGGCTGGAGCCAGACCCTACTTGGCATCCTCGCCGGCACTCGCTGCCATCAGTCCGTCAGCCTGAGCCCTGCTGCTGGGCATGATGCCACCCTGGTGTGGTCCCACCGAGCTTCTCCCTGAGGGCCAGCAGTGCAGAGCGTCTTCTCCTGGGCTCGTGTTTCATCTTTAGTGGCCCGGCCTGTGGATCTTTCATCTGTTTTTTGAGGTGTGAGCATCCCTGCTGTATTCTGAGATGAGTCTTTCACCAGATGCACACGTCGGGATTACATGGTTTTCTTTTGGCTTGTGGCCTGCTTTTATATTTTCTTCCCTTGAAGAGTGGAAGGCTTACATTTTAATGCAGTTTAGTTTATCAGGGTTTTCCTCTGTTTCACATGCTCTGCTTCCCAAGAGCCCTGCTGTCCAGGGGCCACACGGTTTCCTGTCCCACTGCAGGAGCTCTGCAGGCTTGGCTTTATGAGTACGTCCCCGACCCATCTCACGTTAATTTTTGTGTGTGGTCCAGGGTACGCCCAATGTTCTTCCTTTTTTCTCCTTAAATAACAGCTTGTGTTTTAAATTGTTAAACCAGAAAAAGCAGAAACTAGGGCACAATACTTGTATGAGCCCCGGGGTGAGGTGGTGGCTCTGCAGTCAAGGGAAGGAGGACAGCGATGGCTTATGAGTCGTGACATGTGAGTGCTGGTGGAAAGGTGCTTGCCTCTCAGAGGCTCGTGTCCTCTTTACACTTAGGCACCCGTGGGGCTTGACTGGGAAGTGGGGGAGGTCAGAGTGGTGACCCAGGCCCAGAGGTCCTCCGGCCTAGCACTGCCAGGAAGGGTGCTTTTATAGAGGTTGTGCATGGGAGGATTTTGCAGCTGACCCCCTGTTTAGTAAGATCACTGAGGGCCTGGGGTTGGTGACAACCCCCTCTCTCTCGGGATCTATCAGATGGTGGGGGTGCTGACAGTAAGTGGCTTTGAGACTCACACTGGAGCCCCCACACATATGCTTCTCTCTGCAGCCTCTCGGAGCCAAGACCACTTTGGCCACGAGACCTGGGACCACCAGCTGAAGTTAGCAGTGGCGTGGAACCGCGTGGACATTGCCCGGAGCGAGATTTTCACTGATGAGCGGCAGTGGAAGGTAAGGCTCCTCGGGCTGACCTGTGGCAGGGCCTGTGGGACCTGTGAGTCATGCTGCAGGGCAAGGACAGGCCCTGGAGGGCAGCCCTGGCCAGATGCCCCTCCTTCCCTTGAAGAAGGGCAACCCTCTCAAATTTGGAGATGGCAAGAGCGGCTGCCTCATCAGGAATGGCGCCTGGCGCACCCACACTGCCCTCTCTCAGCCTTCAGATCTGCACCCCATGATGACGGCCGCCCTCATCTCCAACAAGCCTGAGTTCGTGAAGCTCTTCCTGGAGAATGGGGTGCTGCTGAAGGAGTTCGCCGCGTGGGACACCCTGCTCTACCTGTATGGGAACCTGGACCCCGCCTGCCTGTTTCACAGCAAACTGCAGAAGGTGCTGGCTGAGGAGCCTGCCATCCATCACCTGCAGATGCACCATGTGGCCCAGGTGCTGCGGGAGCTCCTCGGGGACTTCACACAGCCACTATACCGCATGCCCCGCATGGGTGACCGGCCGCGGCCCCTGCTGCCAGTGCCTCCTATCAAGCTCAACGTGAGTGCTGGTAACGTGCCTCCTGCTCAGCTTGGCCTGTGTGTCAGGCCACTGCTATGCCTTAACTCTCTTAAAAAAGTTAGCTCGACTTTTATTAGGCAAGAAATTGGCTGCCTGTCAGAGCTGCTTGGGCTGCCATTACAAAACACCATGGACAGGGCGGTCAGACACAGAAATTTGCCTTCTCACAGCTCTGGAGGCTGGGCATCCAAGATCTGAGTACCGGCAGGGCTGGTTCCTGGTGAGGCCTCTCCTCCTGACATGCAGATGGCTGCCTTGTGCATCCTCTCGTGGCCTGCCCTCAGTGTGCACGAGAGATGGGGCAGGCTCTGGTGTCTCTCTCTCTTCTTATAAGGACACCAGTCCTACTGGACCAGGCCCCAACCTAGGGCCTCATGTAACCCAAATCACCTCCTAAAGGACCCCTTTCCAAAAATGGTCAAAAGGGAGCTTAAGTGGATATTGGGGGACATGGTTCAGTCCATTACTCTCCCTTTCTAAAAATGTCAAATGGTACAAAAGGTGATGCAGGGAGAGTGATCCCCCCCATGCCCTGTGCCCCATCCTGCATCCTGCTCACCTGGTGTGAATATCAGTGGGCAACGCCCTGCCATGTCGCATGAGGACCAGCATGTGGCCGCAGGAGAGGCTGCTTTCTATCCGCGCCCTCATGCGATGGGCCCCGCTCACTTGAATGTTAAAGCATGAGGTGGTCTCTGTGTGTGTGTTTATGGCAGGGGGTCCGTCTCCTGATTCAGTGAAGTTTTAAAATGAAGCCTCAGTGCTGAGTTTTGTCAGATGCCTTTTGAGAAGTTGAATGGCTCTTCTTTGACCTATGAATTTGGTTAATTGTTTTAATAGATTTCCTGATAGTGAAACATTTTTAGTATTGTTTTGAGTCTGAACTTCATGGCACTGTCACGTGTTCAGTACGGTGCTGGATTCTGTTGCCACTATTTTGTAGGTGTTTTCATCAGAATGTTCAAGGCTTTGTAGTTTTATTTTGGGGACTATCTTTGTCAGGTTCTAGTGTCAGTTTCATGTTAGCCTCATAAAAACCATTGGGAAGTCTTCTTTCTTTCTGTGCTAAGAACGGTTTATGAAGCTAGAGTTCATTGCTTTTCTTATAAGCTCAGCAGGCTCCCTGGGAGTCCACTGGGGCCTGGGGCCTTTTTGGGTAGGAGCTCTGATAACTTTCTCAGTTTCTTTCCTGATAATTTCTCTGTTTAGGTTTTCTGTCTGTTCTAAGATGAGATTTGTTTTTGTTTTTGTTTTTATTTTCTGCTAGAAAATTATCCTCTTACTTCAGTTCACTGTCCCAGGCAAGCTGTGCCTGTTGCCTGAGAAAGACATGTTTGTGGCTTGGTTTTATATCTTTACAAATCTGTTCTTCTTGATTCCAGTGTATTAATAAACCCAGTTGGAATGTGCTCGAGGTCTAAAGTAGAAGTGCAACCATGTCTGCAATCAAGAAAGATAAAATATTTTTTAAAAATATAAAGATGAGCCTTCAGGAAATTTCTAAAATCACTTCAAGAAACTGCAGTTTTGAGTGTGATGTGGGAAGTGTTCTCTCCCTCTTGGAATTGTTTCTGGATTGTCTGCGTGTGTGTTTACTGGTCGGCCAGGAAGCTGGGTCATCACGTCTCTGTGCGGGCTGAGTGTGTCTGGGCCCAAGGTGCCCCCCTGCTCACGTGTCCTCGCCGGTTCAGCAGCTCTTCCTTGTGGGCCTTTGCAGAAAATGGTGTGTAGGCTCCTTTGGGGAGCTCACAGCCATTTGTCTATTGTCAGACTCTGTGTTTGACTTTTGTGTCATAGAAAAAAGCTTTGATGCTGTCAGGTAAGACTAAGGAAACTTGAGGTGCCTGGCATGTAACAAAGGTCTACGGATGTTGGTAAAGAATTAGCTGGGTACCCCACCTTCTGGATATTACATGCCTCCAGAGTGATGGTTTTAGAAACTCCAGCACGCATGAGAATGATCTGCAGTATTGTTGAAAGTGCAGAATGTGTAGCTCGCCCTTTAGAGATGGTGAGTCTAGAAGGTGTGGGGCTCCCATACCTGCACCCCCAACAGACCCCTAGGAATTCTGATGCTGGTGGGAGTGGAGGAGGGGCTCTGACTGTCTGGTGCCCCCCAGGTACAGGGAGCGAGCCTCCAGTCCCTCTACAAGCACTCGTCAGGCCGTGATGCCTTCACCACGGACCCAGTGCGCGATCTTCTCATTTGGGCCATTGTCCAGAACCGCCGGGAGCTGGCAGAAATCATCTGGGCTCAGGTAACCAGACCCGTTTCTTGGCATACGTGCAGTGGGGACCAGTGACAGGGCTCCAACTGGGGAATGTGTCCGGAGAGCCCAGCGCCTGCAGCAGGTAGAGGAGTGCACAGCTGTGGAGGGAGGGCAGCGGGTGTCCTCACCGTAGAGAGGGCTCAGGGCGCTCAGTGCTGGAGAACAGAGAGCTTGGCTCTAGGCAGGAAAATAAGTTTTAGAGAGGTGTGCCACACAGGCCCCTGCAGTTCTGTAGAGGCCAACACACGCTGGGCATGCACTGCCAGGCAGAGACACGCCCCGCGGCCCCCACAGTCCTGCCAGACCAGGGTGTGTGCTGTGGCCAGCCTGGTCAGTAGAGATTCTGCAGGGTAAGTTCAGAGTGGCCACACCTCTTCCCATTGACTGCTGGGGATCTCAATGGTCTGTTACTCAGAAGGAGAGCAGGCCGGGGATGCCACTGCCCTGAGCCCCGCTGCGGGCTGTCTGGGACCATCAGCCCACCAACCCAGGTAGCTGCCAAGCTGCCGGGCCTGTGTGCAGCTTCGTGGTCTGTGATGGAGGGACTTGCCAGGCGGTTCCTTAAGGAGCAGTGCTGCGGGCCTAGGTCCCCCACACTCGGCTTCCTTCAGTCCAAGCTGACTCTCCTCTTAAAGGGAAAGCGAGGTTGGCTTTCTCAGGGGCTCTGCTTCCCAGCGTGGGCACTTCCAAACTGCTCTGGGAGCTGGCTCCAGCAGGGTGCGTGTGGCAGCTTCCCACCTGCTCTGTGGTTCTGGGCTTGCCTTCTCCCTCGGTGCGTGGTGGGTTGTCGGCAGGGCCGGCCTGACTGTGACCTCAGGTGTGCCCCGTGGGGTTCAGTGGTGGAGAGACACCCACCCCTTGTCCCAGGCCAGCTTTGCGAGCCTTCCTGGAGATTTTCTTAGGCTGTGACCCTGGTGCTACCAAGGCAGGGCGCCAACAGCCTGGACGGGGACGTGCAAGGCACTGGTCCTGTTTCTTCGGCTCGGTGTGCTCTTTGACCCTCAGCCCCAAGTCTGACCAGATGCCCAGAGGGCACTGGGGCTCATGCCTGTGGGGCCATGCCAGTGCCCTGCATCCAGCCTGTGTTCTGTGTGGGCAAGCAGGCCACTCCTGCTGGCCAGGGTAGGAGACCAGCCACCAGAAAGGGCTTATGTGTTGATTTGGGGTGACCCAGATGGTTTACACAGAGGGGACCACAAGTGATCACCAGTGGCCCGTGCTGCCCTGGGGTCCCTGCCTTCATCACCCCGGGCAGTGTGTCTGGGTCCTCACCGTGGCCCCCTGGTGCCCAGAGCCAGGACTGCATTACGGCCGCCCTGGCCTGCAGCAAGATCCTGAAGGAGCTGTCCAGGGAGGAGCAGGACACAGACAGCCTGGAGGACATGCTGGCACTCACAGCCGCGTTCGAAAACAGAGCTGTTGGTGAGTCCTGCTGGGCGGCAGCCTGGCACCACGGCTCAGTCTTCATGTGTCCCCCTGGGGTCTTCGTCCTGGGTCCCAGCTACATGCCATCTGGTGCCACCCTGGGGACCTCGTCCTGGTCTCAGCCCGTCTGCCTGTCCAGGTGGTGTCCTTTGCTGGGGCTGCTCTCAGATCCTGTCCCAGGTGTCATGCTCGGGACCCTACTGCTGTGACATGGTCTTCCTTTTTGGTCCAGGGGTCTTTACTGAGTGTTACCGGAAGGATGAGGAGAGAGCCCAGAAGCTGCTTGTCCGCGTGTCGGAGGCCTGGGGGAAGACCACCTGCCTGCAGCTGGCCCTGGAGGCCAAGGACATGAAGTTTGTGTCTCACGGGGGCGTCCAGGTGACCTTCTGAGGGTCCCTCCCTCCCACACAGACCGTGCACGAGGTCAGCTCTGGGGGACCCGGGGTGGCATGTGGCCCATTGGTCACTGGCCGCAGACCCTGCACACCCTCCTTCCTGCCACTTTGTGGATCAGGACGCTGACATTAAGTGAGAGCAGTGCAAGGCACCACTGCAGCCACCACTCCCCTCATGCAGAATGTCCCCACCTGGGGCCCCGGGAGGGGTACAGGGAAGGGGCCGAGTGTCCTCGTCGAGTTCCAAGGCCAGCGTGCTCCCAGCGCTGGCACTTTCCTAGGGCCCAGCTTCCTGCTGTCGCCCATCCATGGAGCACGGTCCTGTGCTGGGCTATGCTGGGGCCTGGGGACATGGTGGGGGTCCTGTGCCCCAGACAGACCTCAGAGGGGCTGGCAGCGAGCACAGGGTCCTGAGCTTGGGGTGGGAAGGCAGCCCCTGGAGCCAGAGGCCAGCTCTGAGCCCTGTTCCTTGCGCTGGACCTCTGGGAGAGCCCCGCCTACCTGGGGCCCCTCAGCCACATGCTGCCACCCCAGGCTCGGGCTCAGAGGGCACTGTGCTGGAGAGAACGGGGTCACTTTGCATGGAGCGGATCTGTCACCCACACTCAGGGGTGAAAGCAGGAGCTGGGCTCAGGGTGGGTGGGGTGCCCACCATCCTGAAACTGGCCCTCTGTCCATAGGCTTTCCTGACCAGGGTGTGGTGGGGCCAGCTCAGCGTGGACAATGGGCTCTGGCAGGTGTTCCTGTGCATGCTGGTCTTCCCGCTGCTCTACACTGGCCTCATCTCGTTCAGGTGCCAGCCTTGCTGCAGGGCTGAGGCCAGGGCCAGGGCCTCAGGCCTTCCTTCCCAGTACCCACCTGTCCCCCGGCACCCATCCTGCCCAGCACCCACCTGTCCCCCAGCACCCACCCTGCCCAGCACCCACCTGTCTCCCAGCACTAACATGTCCCCAACACCCACCCTGCCCAACATCCACTTGTCCCGAGCACCTACCCTGCCCAGCACCCACCTGTCTCCCAGCACTTACATATCCCCAGCACCCACCCTGCCCAGCACCCACCTGTCTCCCAGCACTTACATGTCCCCAGCACCTACCCTGCCCAACATCCACCTATCTCCCAGCACCCACCCTGCCCAGCACCCACCTGTCCAGTACCCACCTGTCCCCCAGCACTCACATGTCCCCAGCACCCACCCTGCCCAGCACCCACCTGTCCCCTGGCACCCACCCTGTCTGTAGCGCCCATTGTGGCCTGATTATCTTGGCACAGCCCTGATGGAATGGGGGCGCCCCTGGTTGCCCCTGCACTAGCTGCGCATGTGGGGTCAGTGAGCACAGGCGCAGGCTGTGCCCTGGGTCTCCCTGCTATGCCCAGTGGTGTGTGGCTGAGGCCCGGCGGGCTGTCCGCCCATGTGCACCCTGCAGGGAGAGGAGGCTGAGGGCTGGCAGGGGCCTGGCCCACATCCGCGCCTTCTTCAGCGCGCCCGTGGTTGTCTTCCACCTAAACGTCCTGTCCTACACCGCCTTCCTCTGCCTCTTCGCCTATGTGCTCATGGTGGACTTCCAGCCCACGCCCTCCGGCTGCGAGCACCTCCTCTACCTCTGGCTCATCTCCCTGGTGTGCGAGGAGTCGCGGCAGGTGGGCCCTGCACCAGCCCCCTCCCTGCGCGCCCACCTCCGCGGCGGCCCTGCCCCTGGCCTCTCACTGCAACCGCACCACTGCCAGCGCCCCCGGCCCTCTTGCAGCTCTTCTACAACCCTGATGGGTGCGGGCTGGTGAAGATGGCGCTCCGGTACTTCAGTGACTTCTGGAATAAGCTGGACATTGGTGCCATCTTGCTCTTCATAGTGGGACTGGCCTGCAGGTGAGGGGCCCCCGCAGCAGCCCGCCAGGCGGGCTCCGATGGTTCTGACCACGTTTGTCATCTGTCCCGTGGCCACCCACCTCCCTGGGACAGGTGGAGCAGAGGAGCCCCTCCTCGCCCGGATGGTGGCCACTGTCCTGGCCGCAGCTCCCTCTGCCTCCTCCCATGTAGGCAGCATGTCTGCCATGCTCTCCACCAAGCAGGAAGGACCAGCCCTGGCTCCCTGGTCCCCCAGACTGGGCTGCCAGGCCCTTCTGGAGAACACCTTCCCAGCGGCTCTGCCTGTCAGGCTCACACCCAGCCTCTAGGCTTGGGGCCCCAGGGCTCCCAGAGCCCTTTGCTTCCAGGGGCCCCGTGTGGGCTGGGGCAGGTGAGCTGGCAGCTGGGGTCAGGCCCCAGGAGGCGTATGGTGAGGGCTCCCTGGTTCTGCCCGGCGCCAGGCTCACACCAGCGCTGCTGTATCCCGGGCGCATCGTCCTGTCTCTGGATTTCATCATGTTCTGCCTCCGGCTGATGCACATTTTCACCATCAGTAAGACGCTGGGGCCCAAGATAATCATCGTGAAGCGGATGGTAAGGGAGCGGGAGAACCCCTGCCAGGTGTGGGCTGGGGCACCAGGGCTTTGGCACACTCCCAGCTCTGCGTCCTCGCTGTGCCTTCAGGCTCCTGATCCCCAGCGGGCCTCACTTGGGTCTTTGCCTGTGTGTTGCCTCTTCCAGGCAACATTCCCTGATTGACACGGCTCATTCCTGATCCCTGTTATAGCCCTTATCACTCCCTCTATGGATCACAGTCCCATTCAACCCCATCTACACATCGTGGGGGTGCTAGCATCCCGTTAGGGTATGGGGCAACCCCAGGGTTCCTGGGCTCCTAGCTCCATGTGTCCAGGCGTAGGTGTGAGCGGCTTCCCCTCACCCAGAGCACCCAGGCTGGGCATGGGGCTGGGGCCACTTGAGGGCAGGGTGGTGCTCCAGGTGCACAGGCTGCAGCCAGATGCCACCCTGTCTCTGCAGATGAAGGACGTCTTCTTTTTCCTCTTCCTGTTGGCGGTGTGGGTGGTGTCTTTTGGGGTGGCCAAGCAGGCCATCCTCATCCACAACGAGAGCCGGGCGGAGTGGATCTTCCGGGGTGTCATCTACCACTCGTACCTCACCATCTTTGGGCAGATCCCAGCCTACATTGACGGTAGGATGCACACCCTGACAGCCGTAACAGGGCCCTGCGAGCTCCCAGCAGGTGGGTGGGGAGGGCAGCAGGGCCCAAGATCTCCAGGGCAGGAAGGGACACGTGCCTGCTTCCTTCACTGAGACTGCTGGGCTGGGTGTGGCTGGGGCATTGGCTGACACCCCTCCCCATCCCCACCTCCTCTCCTTTCTCTTCCCCCACCTACACTCCATGACAAGTAACTCCCTCCTTCTCTGGATGAGAGAACACTTTATGTGTACTGAATTTTTTCTTTTTAACAGCTTCATTGAGAGAGAATTCACCTGCCACAAAACCCGCGGCACACAGTGTTTGCATCAGTGGTTTTAACGTGGCTCCAGAATCTGACTCTAGAACATTGGCATGAGCCCCAAAAGCACCTGCTCCCACAGGCAGTCACTCGCCAGCCCTGCCCTCAGCCATAGGCAACCTCCAATCGGCTTTCTGTCCCTCTAGAAGTTGCTTTTTTGGACCTTTTCTATAAATTAGATAATGTAATACATAATCTTAAGTGTCTTACTTCTTTTTCTTAGCAAAATATTTTCAAGAGCCAACCACGTTGTAGCCTGTATCAGTGTTTAATTCCTTTTTGTGACTGAACAATATTCCTTGTATGAATGGACCACATCTTTTCATGAACAGGTGGACATTTCAGTTGTTTCTGCTTTTTGGCTACTATGAATAATGTTGCTCTGAGCAGTTATTTGTAAGTTTTGGTGTGGACCTATGCTTCATTTCTCTCAGATGGATCTGTATCTGGGCAGCAAGTTGCTGGGTCAAATGGTGACTCTGTTAACTTTTTGGGAAAAACTGCCAGACTGTTTTCCACAGTGGCTGCACCATCTCACATCCTCCAGCAACATCCGAGGGGCCCACCTTCTCCACATTGTTGTTGGCACTTGTTACTGTCTTTTTTGATCCTAGCCGTCCCAGGAGGTGTGGCATGTACCTGGCTGTGGTTTTGATTTGCACGTGCCTGGTGGCTGGTGATGCTGAGCATCATTTCATCTGCTTGCTGGCCATTTGTTTATCTTCTTTGGAGAAACGTCTATGCCTATCCTCTCCCATTTTCAAGTGGGTTATACGTGTTTTTCTGAGTCCTATGGGAACTGGTCCTTTGTTGCGTGTCTGATTCGCAGACGTTCTGTTGCTCTGTGGGCTGTCTTCACTGTCTTCCTGGTTGTCCTGGGAAGCGCCAACGTTTTTAATGGTGATAAAGTTCAGCTTATCAGTCTCTGTTACCATTTGTGCTTTTGGTGTCATTTCTGAGGACCTATTGCCTGACACAAGGTCATGAAGATTTATGACTATGTTGTTACTCTAAATTTTTTTTGAGCTTTGTCTTTTAGGGCCCTTGATCTATTTAAATGAGTTTTGTATACAGTGTGAGGTAAGGGTCCTTCTGCTGCATGCAAATGTCTAGTTGTTCCAGTATCATTTGTAGAAAAGACTGTTCTTTCTCCATTGAATTGTCTTGGCACCCTTGTCAAAAATCAACTGGCCATTAATGGAAGGCTTATCTCTAGGGTCACAAATTTATTTCATTGATCTGTGCGTCCTACCCTTGTGCCAATACCACACTGTCTCCATCACTGTAGCTTTGAAGTAAGTTTTAAAATCAGAAAGTGTGAGTCCTTTGATGTTGTTCTTCTTTCTCAAGATAGTTTTGGCCTCTGGGTCCCTTGGGTCCACATGAATTTTTGGATCAGCTTATCCATTTCTCCAAAAAAGACACCTGGATTTTGACTGTGAGCCTGGGATGTGTCCTATCTTATTTGGATCTTTAATTTCAGTGATATTTTGTAGTTTTCAGTTGAACTTGTTTGGCTAAATTTATTGCTAAGTGTTTTCTTCATTTTCATGCTCTTGTAAATCGGGTTGTTTTATTAATTTCATTTTTGGATTGTTTATTGCTAGTATATAGAAATACACTATATTTTGTATATTAATCTCATATCCTGAAACCTTGTTAAAGGTCTTTGTTAGTTCTAATAGTTTTTTAGCTTTTAGTTCTTTGTTATTTTTACTGTTTTTTTCTAAAAGTTGTAATCGTTTTTGGGGTTTACTATATACAAGATCATGTCAGGTGTAAATAGAGGTAATTTTACCTTTCCAGTGTGGATGCCTTTTATTTCTTTTTCTTGCCTAATTATCCTGACTAGAACCTCTGGTGCCAATGTTGAGTAGAAGGGCAGAGAATAAACATCTTTACCTTGTTCCTGATCTGAGGGGGAAAGCTTTCAGTCTTTCTCTATTAAGTACGATGTCAGCTGCGGGTTTTTTTGTAAATGTCCTTTATCAGTTGAAGAAGTTCCCTTCTGTTCCTGCTTTCTTGGGCGTTTTCACTGTGGAAGGGTGTCAGATTTTGTCCAATGCTTTTCCTGCATCTATTGTGTTCACATGGTTTTTGTTCCTCCTGCTGTTAATACGGTACATTGTATTACCTGATATTCGGATGTTAAGCCAGCTCTGCATTCCTGGGACACATCCCACTGGGCACAGTGTGTGATTCTTTGTCTGTGTTGCTGGTGTTCAGAGAAGGGCATTCGCATCTGGGTCACACAGGGTCTCGGTCGGCAGTGTTCTTGTGACGTCTTTCTCTGGTTTGGTATCAAGGTGACACCAGCCTTCTAGAAGTATTCCCTCCTCTTTTATATTATGGAAAAGCTTGTGAAGGATTGGTTTTATTTCCTCTTTAAACATTTGGTAGAATTTACCAGTGAAGATACCTGGGCCTGAAATTTCCTTTGGGTGAAGTCTTAAAATTACTAACTCAATCCCTGTACTAGTTACAGGTCTGTTTATATGTCCTATTTCTTCTCAGTCAATTTTGTCAGCATGTGTCTTTTTAGGAATTTGTCCATTTTATGATTTTAGTAATTTGAGTCTTTTTTTCCTTGGTCAGTCTGGCTAAAGGGTTGTAATTCTGTTGATCTTTTCCCAGAACCAGTTTTGGCTTTGTTTCTTTCATTCATTATTTTTGTGTTCTATTTCGTCTGTTTGCATTCTGATCTTCCCTGTTCCTCCCTTCTGCCTGCTTCAGGTTTAGTTTGCTTTTCTTTTTTTAGCTTACTGAAGTGGAAGGTCATGGTAGTGATGTGAGCTCTTTCTTCTTAATTCAGGTATTTATTGCTATTTTAGTGCATTTCTATCTTAGAAAATTAGTAACACTTTCAAAAAAATATGTTAGTTTGCACACTAGTGCATGTTCACTGTTTGAAAAGTGTTACAATTCAAGGTAAGTCTAAACAAGAATGTCCATAGTCCCACCTCCCAGTTAACTGCTATTAACAATCTAGCCAGTCTCCTCAGAGGTCTTTAATGGGTAAGCTGCACGGGGGTGGACACTGCCCGCCAGTCGCCCCTCTGGCGCAGGCTGTTCTGGCTGCCCTCCCTGCCCACCCTCTGTGCTTAGCCTCTGAGGTGCCTCTTCTTTCTCACGCCTCCTTGGCCTTTGCCTTTTGAACGCTGCCCCAGGTGTGGGGCCCTCAGGCCTGGGACCTGTGCCCAGTGAGGAAGTGCCCCGGTGGGGAAGCCTGGGCCCAGGATGTGGGTCTGCCTCCTGGGCTTCCTGTGGCAGCCACCCTTCCTGCCTGCAGAGGGTGCTTTGCTGGGCTGGAGCTGACAGCTGGGGTCCCCCAGGTGCACGGCGTCCAGGCCTGTGGGGCTGTCCTTGCCCCAGGGGCCCCTTGACTCCGTGCCCCCCATGGCAGGCGTGAACTTCAGCCTGGACCAGTGCAGCCCCAATGGCACAGACCCCTACAAGCCCAAGTGCCCCGAGAGCGACACCAGGCGGCTCGAGCCCGTGTTCCCCGAGTGGCTGACAGTCACCTTGCTCTGCCTCTACCTGCTCTTCACCAACATCCTGCTGCTCAACCTCCTCATTGCCATGTTCAAGTGAGTGCCGTGCGGTGGGCTGCCCTGGCCGACAGCCCTGCCCAGTCCTCCTGTTATTGCCCAGTGCGAGCCTGGACCGGGGCACGGGTGCCCTGAGGCGCCTTGCTGGCTGCAGGCTGGAGCGCTTGGCCTCTCTCCCCATCCCTGCTGTGTCAGCCCAGCAGCCCAGCTGCATGGAGGCACCAGGCTGGGGGCGCACCACGTCTCTGTCCTTTGTCTCCTGGGTCAGTGGGGTGCATTGTGGGCTCCAGCCGTATGCAGGGGATCCCCTCTCTGCAAATACACTTAACTTTGCTCAGCCTCTGTCCCTTGGTGATTTCATAGATGTCTGTGCAGATGAGATGAGATGCTGAGGGTGAAAGCCTTCTGCACAGGCCTCCCACTTTGCAGACAAGGAAGCAGGCTGGGGTGCAGAGTGACTAGTCAAGATCACCTCTCGATGTGGAGGAGCAGTGCCAGTGCTTACTAAATATTGCTCTTGTGATGCAGGAGGGCAGGAGTAGGGGTCTGCACGGCCCAGTACTGGGCACCCCATGGAAGGCCACAGCCCCCCTGTGGCTCACAAGTCCCCTAGCCCCTCAGATCTGTCCCGGTCTCTGCAGAAGGGTCTGGGGTCCGTGACCTGGTAAAAACCCTCTCCTGTCTGGGAAGGTGCTGTTTCTCTACCCCTTTACTCAGGGGCTGCCCAGGTTTCTGATTAACATGTGTCCTGAACACTGAGGAAGCCTGGCCATGTGGGGAACCACTATACAGAGGCCAAAGGGGCCAGTGGGCAGGGGCTCTGTCTCCTCCGCAAGGGAGCAGTGCAGCTGCATTTCTGTGCCGCCGCCCCCCACTCAGGGGGCCTCCCTCTGCCCACACTCGGCTCTGCTAGGGTCCATCCACAAGCCAAGGCACATGTGGAGAATAAACACATCGCAAGGTGCAGACACAGTTGCTTCACTCTGATTCACCGATAAACTCCTCTTAGAATTCAGCACCAGGGCATCGTCCACCTCCCCACAAAACACCCGCTAACGCAATTCATGAGACCTGGACCCTGGGAGCTCTCTCCTCTCACCTCAGCCCACGGGGAGCCCAGGGCCTGAGGCTGGGCGGCCAGCTGTCTTCCTGCTTCAGGAGTCGCCCTCCCCGGCCGCACGTTGCTTTCCTGGGGCCATCGGCCAGGTGCTGCGGGCAGGGGGCTGGGCCTCTCTGCTCACCTTGCTTGTGCATCCCATGGGCTGTGTCTTGTGTGACCGGCGCCCCTCACCTCCCTGCAGCTACACGTTCCAGCAGGTCCAGGAGCACACAGATCAGATCTGGAAGTTCCAGCGCCACGGCCTGATAGAGGAGTACCACGGCCGGCCCCCATTGCCGCCGCCCCTCATCCTCCTCAGCCACCTGCACCTCTTCATCAAGAGGGTCATCCTGAAGAGGCCTGCCAGCCAACACCAGCAGCTCAGTACGCCACCCCCTTGGGGAATGGACGGCAGCCTGGGGGTGGGGGTGGGGGGTGGGCAACCCTGCAATCCTGGAAGCTCAGCAGGCCTCCGGCCTCCCTGCAGCCCCCTCGTGCAAAGCCCCACTCCCAGTGAGGCCCTCCTGTGGGCCGGGCCTCACGTGGCTGCCACACCCAGTGCTGGAGTCCCTCTGTCTACTGTCCCGCAGAGAATAAGCTGGAGAAGAACGAGGAAGCAGCCCTGCTGTCCTGGGAGGCCTACCTGAAGGAGAACTTCCTGCAGGGCCAGCAGAGGCAGAGGGAGGAGCAGAAGGTCCAGGACCTCGGCAGCAGGTGGGGCTGGGCTGCCCTGGCTGGGACCCCCGTGATCGGCCCGCCTGGCCGCTGGGGCAGGGTGTCCTGCAGCTGGCCCACAGCCCCACTCTGCTCTCAGGAGAGGCTGGACCCTGCGGGTGGCGCAGGGAGGAAAGGCCGCCTGTGCCGCCGGGCTGACCTCTGGCTTCCTTGAGAGGTGGGTGGGGGCTGGAGGCGGGCACATGGGCTACAGGGGGCCAACTCCAGGCCTGGAGGCCGAGTGCGGTGAGCCTGTGGGGGGCCGAGGTAGTGGCCAGAGCTCAGACATGCTTGGCACTGTGTTCCACCCTCAGACGCCCCCTGTGTCTTCCCAGTGCGTGAGGGTGGTGCTGGGGAAAGGCCCCCAGCTCATTTCTGTCCATCCCACCCTCAGTCTGATGGGCTCTGTGCTGACTGCACCTTGGGGCACAGATGTGGCGTGGCCAGTTCCTGCTGTCAGTGTGTGTCTCACTGTGGCCCAAGGAGGCACGGGACACAGTGCCACGTGGCTGTCCTGCAGGTCATGGAGAGGGCGTCCTGGGGCCTTGCGGGAGCAGCCACGAGTGTGGGCTCCTGCCCATCAGGCTGAGCACACCCCTCCTTTGAGCATGGTTGCCTTTCACCCTCTCAGCTCACTGTGGAATGGGGACGATCACATGGAGTTGTTTCTGGAACGCAGGCACATGAAAGCCCCGCATGTCCTGTGCTGGGACATAGCAGCACTGTGTCAGCCTTGGTTGTGAAGTGTGGCTTTTCTTCTCTGTTGCACATTAGTGCTGACAGTGGTGCCCCTGGCCTGCTCACCCCTCCATGGGTTGGTGAGAAATCCGAGGCCGGGGGGCAGCACAGTGCACCACGGCCCCAGAGCCTCGGGGCTGAGCGGAGCCCCCTCCACCCAGAGAGCTGGGCTGGGGTTTGTGTGAGACGGGGTGGGGTCTCTGATGGGCTCCGCCTGCAAACGGATGTGGCCCCTGCTGTCACAGTGGCTGCGCCACAGGGCCAAAATGTGCTCTACCACCTCCTTCCCGGTGGCCATGCAGCATGCTGGTGGACGTGGCCAGGGCAGGGGGCCAGGAGCGTGGCCTTGTGGATTAAGCGATACCTAGTGAGGCAAAAGTAAACTCCAGTCCCTCAAAGAAATAATTCCTCCCTTTCCCAAGGTAGGTGCTCAGAGTGGGTGCCAGGCCCAGCTCCACACCCATCAGTCATCAAAATGGCTGCTCGCCTAGTCGGGCCATGTTCTCGGCAGCTGGTGCCATGGGAGGATGGCAGTATGGAAACCATGGGCATAAACAGATGAGGGTCTGGCCAATGCTTGGCTGGAGAATTACTTACCTATAAACACGGCAGGCCACAGCTGGGTGAACTTCCCATGTTGCAGCAAAATAAGACAAAACCAAATGTCCCAAACGACAGCACTGCCACCGCCCCCCCCCCTCACTGGGAACCCAGAACGCAGAGGTGGCTCCACGTTCATGACCCAGGTTTTGGAGTTGGTGGCTAGCGGCCTGTCGGCAGATCCCAGGGAAATGCTCACGTGTGTGTGTGCCTGACGGGCTGCTCTGATGGGCTGCTTTGACGGGCTGTCCAGCTGTGTGAGCCTGGGCATCTTGCTGAGAGACCGGCCCCTCTGGGCACCAGGCAGGCCCATTCTATGCAGAAACATGCAGTGGAGAGCCTTCAGCTCAAGAAGAAGAGGTCTGACATGGAGCCCGATGGCGCCGGGCCGTGGACTCTGATAGTGTTGCCCCTGCAGACTCACACTGTTTCCTCTGTCCCAGCCCCGAGGCTGGCCTGGCTGGGCTCAGCTGTGTGCTCTTGCAGGGTTGACACCATGGTGGACCTGCTGGAAATGGAGCGTCTGAAGCTGTTGGGCACCTTGGAGCAGAGACTGGCCTCCCTGGAGGAGCAGGTGGGTTCAGGGCCGGGGCTTCTGTTTCTGGGCCGTGGATCCCAGTGTGTGGCGTGGTGGCTCTGAGAAGGAGCATGCTGGGAAAATGGCCAAGGGAGGCAGGACGTGGTAGCAAGCATTCCCGATGGAAGAAGCGCCTTCTTTGTCCTCCAGAACATTCTGCTGGACGCTTTGCTACCTGGGCTCTGTCACGTGGCACTGCGAGGTGTCAGTCTCCTGGGCTGGGCCAGGGGAGCACCTCCACCCTCCCTCGGCCTGCACGCGGCTACACTCTGGTGGGTGCGGTCACAAGCCCCTGTGCCTGAACCCGGGTGGGGCTGTGTGAACTATGGAAGCCTCAGTGTCCCAGGGAGCATGGGGGGTGGAGAGGTGAGCACCACGGGGTGACCAGGATGTGCTTGAACATCTGCTGGGTGACCACGGGGCAGCAGGAAGCAGTGCTGGAACGTGGGGTCGAGGTCTTGGAGTTCTGCCCTGAGGGAGCTTGTTCTTCACAAGAGGCTGCCCAGGGGACAGTGGTCAGCAGGCAGTAGGTGACCAGCCCGCACCCCACCCTTCCCCCATCAGTGTCCATGGTGGTCCCCCAGCAGCTAGGCCACACCAGCTGGGTGCTGTGCCCTCAGCCTGAGATGGGCGGCACTGAGCAGCTTCTGGTCTGAGAGTCATCATCCCACAGGCCAGATGGGCTCAGGTGCCTGAGAATTAGCTCATCCATCCATCATCCATTGGCCCATCCATCCATCCATCCATCTACCCACCCATCCACCACCCATCCATCCATCCACCCATCCATCCATCCATCCATCCATCACCCATCCACCCACCCACCCACCTACCTATCCACCCACCCATCCATTCATCCACCCACCCATCCATCCATTCACCCACCCATCCACCCATCCATCCACCC